TACTTAATCAAAAAATTTTCTAAAAATTTCAAGTCTATCTTAACAACGAGAAGATTCCAGCAGTAACACAATTGCTTATAAACAAATAAATACCTTCAGTGATGAAGGAATAGAAAAAAAGAACTAATGACTTCATTTAACAAAAAAAAATCAAAGAGATCCAAAGCTTGATGCCACCCCTTCATTGCAGGTAGCCATTTTATGGCTCAGACCTGCAGCGTGGCTCAGCCTTCGTGAAGAAAAAAGCAAACGCATAGGCTTAAAAGGCAATGGGCTTGCCTACTTTCAAACGGTACAAGCTACACAATTTTTTTTTCCTCTACCAGCCCGACATTTATAGAATAGCGGCGGACAACGTACCTTCAACTCTCCGAGGCTGAGGGAACCCGAGGTGCCCGAGGCCAGAGAAGAAATAGCAGTGGTGACCAATAACGACTTGGCGATTTGACGCTGCAAAATGCGCTCCTCCAGACCATCAGCGGTGATTAGGCGAATCAGATGGACTTGACGTTTCTGACCTTCGCGCCAGACGCGGGCTAAAGCCTGAAGTTTGAATATACATTGTTATACACACTAACGTGTGGCCTAAAAATTCGGTCATCGGGAAACACAGTTGGTAATATCATCACTGTTACCGTTTAATGGCATTTTGACTACCCTGGCACGAATTCTGAGTTAGTTCAAACAGCAGAACCAAAAACACAAAATTGACGTAGTACATACTCCGTAGAAGAGTAAAATATTATGCAGAATTTAACAGAAAAGATGCTCAAAAGATTCAAAAGACACTTAGCTGGGAAGAGTTCAGTCCATTTGAATCAGATGATCCTAGTTCAAAGGCGGATCAGAAAGGTTAATAAATGTCTTGTCTTGGCGGCAAGTGTCATCGTTGAGACCTTCGACATTTGGGGTCCCGTTTTACAAAGTTAAACATAAACAGCCTGGTTTAAGTAGGCCTAACATTCCTGGAGCCTCGCACTAGATTCGAGTTTAAGACTGAAGGTTAACAAATTCTAGCACTTCTATAAGGGGCAACCAATTTTACGTTAAGAGGTGTTTCCATAACAAACAAAACCTGATAGGGTAGTACAAACGCTTTCCCAACAACAAAACATTAAAAACCTGCCTCATTTAGACAGCTAAAATTAAGTGGAGGGGCATGAATAACTGGAGAAAAACCAAATGAAGGTTCCTCCAGAGCCGGAAAAGAATGGTAATGGAATATCATCAGGTATTCCAATCGTCATTTTAAGCAGTCGCTAATAGTCGGTCAGTAAACAACTTTGGAGCTCGATAAAGTTTTGTAACAATGGCAGCAAGAGGTAAAGAAATATTAGTGAAAACCGAGATTAATGTGCAAGATGCGTTGGAAATGAGTCCACCTGGGCATCAGTAGCTGGGTTCCAGTCAATATCGAAGAGCACCAAAAAGTTTGCACCAGTTAAGTTGAGCCCAGTTCCTCCGGCCTTTGAACTGAGCAGCAGGACCTCTTAAAAAGTGGGAACAAGAGAGTCAATGCAAACTATCCGATAAAATATGCGATTTTAGTCAATAAAAGTACAGACCATCAAGGCCAGGCGATTGATCACGAGATGATAAGCACCAAACCAATTAACTCACTTTCGACACACGTAGGTGAGTTAAAACGGACCACGATCTCATTCCTGCGTTTCGTGGGTGTCTTGCC